AAACCACAATATCATCTGAAAACTCACCAGACACCTGAGTTTAAAACAACAGGTGAGAATTCAGAGATAAGTTAATGTAAAATGAGCGCTCAGAGAGAAAGTTGGCAGTGAGAGAGTTTACTTCCTGAAGGGGGCGGGGCTAACAGCAGCAGCTCCTTATTATAGGACTAAATCCAGGAAGTATACAATCATGATGAAATTAACCATATTTAGAGAAAATGGGCACAAAACAGGACCGTAGACGTATTAGCAGGTCTTTGGTAGAAACTCAAGGCCTCCAGGTGCTGCATTCAAGGAAAAATAAGGAAACTAATGTAGAAAAAAAACATGCGATTAACATGCAAGTCATGCTGGTGAAGAAAAACGGTGCAAAAATTGCTGGTATTTGCAAAAAAAAAAAAAAGCAAAATTGTTGGTATTTAAATTAAAAACAGAATTAAAACTGAACATGTGCAGCTTAGTAAGCGAGCTAAAGCTAAGCTAGCTCAGTTAGCCGCCACACACGAGCAGCGTTTCAGGGTTTAAATGTTGTTGTTTCATTTCCATGTCGTCGGTATGAATCCAGCTCTGACGCTCGTGTTGCGAATCAATCAGCCGGGACACAAATTTGGCTCCGGACCGGCGCCATGAAGCAACAAAAAGTGAAAGGATGGTCGTGAGCGCGCCGTGACACGCATCGCTGCAGAGCTGCAGAGCTGAGTCAGGACTTCCAACCAGGACGACGGTCGTTTACGTCATGGTGGAGGAAATGATAGAGATGTAGAGATGCTATTTAAAAACAACAAAGATGTTAAATGTAAAAAACACTGGAATGCTGAAATGTTTAAAAAAAAAAAAAAAAACTAAGACAAACCCCCAACAACAATAACTGTGAGGTCAAATAATGATAAGATAATATAGATTTTTTTTTTTTCTGATTTTCTGCACCGTCAGCAGTGTGATTTTATTTTCACAATCACAATGTGTAAAATTACAGATTTTTAAAGATTTAAATAAACACTTTTGTTCTGTTATTTGATTCATTTTTATCTGTAATTTAGGAAAAAAGGGAAAATATGTGTACAATCAGTAAAATTACTTCTTTGATTGATTTATTTTAATTTGAATGTTTACAGTTTAGCCCAGTTAATTTAATTTAATTTAATTTAATTTCTTAGTTTAATTTAATTTAATTTATTTAAATTAAATTAATTTTAATTTTATTTAATGTTATTTAATTTTATTCAGGGTTAACATGCAATTGAATGCTATTTTTCTGTGATTTTACAAACTAATGTTTGTTATTTAACAAAATAGAACAATTGTAAAATGAATTACAAAAAACAAAATACATCTCAAAAACATAAAATACTTTGATTTAGTTTTTTTCTTTTTTAGTGTAAACCAGCGCCCCGTCAGCTGCAAACTGTTTAATAAAAATGTACATTTCCATCCAGGATGCTCCTTTATCCTCATAGTTAATTAACTCTGACAACATTTAGAATAAATGAACCCTGCTAACACTGAACCCACCAATGTGGACTTTATGGAACCGGTTGCGGCGCATCTCCTGCATCAGAGGCGAGTCCAGACTCCTGCAGCTTCTTGTTTAGTCTCTGAGCTGCATTAGAGGCTCCTGATCTGCTGCTCGGCTTCTTAATCCTTCAAACATTCGCCTCCAGAATATGAAAACAGGTTTTATGTTTGTCCTCTTCCATCTGAAGATCCGACTCAACGCGTGATCTGTTCTGAACACGACCGACACGATGACGATCCTTCTTTCATTTATATGTAAGACCTGCTGATGATTTATTAAATCGAACAAAAGGCTTCAACACAAGCTCACCGTTAAAGAAATAAAAAACGAAATATCGTTAAAAGTTTTTAACTCTAATTTTCTTCTAAATACTTGTTAATATTTTACAGATTTACCCTTTATTTCTGTTCAACCTCAAATAAAAATTAGTAAAATTACAAATAAAAACTCCTGATCTATATGTTTTGTCATTAAAAAAAAAATCTGGTAAAAATTTTAATTAATTTTTTTTTCTTTAAACATCAGAAAAATTACACTATTTTGTAATGTATATAAGTCAGCAAAAATAAATAAATAAATAAATAAATAAAAAAAATAAAAAATCCATTATTTTAAATGCCAAATAACATATTTTACTAAATAATATTTATATTTTTATCTGGCAATTATTTACACTTTGTCTTTTTTTTCTCACTGTTAACATCTAAAGTTACATTTTTCTGTGGTTTTGTGAAATTCTTCCACCGATGACCTCCACAGATATGAACTCATGATCCTGAACCTTGTTGGGTTTTTCCTGTGGGGACTCAGCAGGTCCTGAGAGGAGGCAGTGGGCGTGGCTGTGGGCGTGGCTGTAGGCGGAGCCAGCAGTCTTCTGGTGAAAGTCCTGCCAGTTCCACAGAAGATGCCATCAGCTGGATTTCCCAACAGGAGACCAGCTCAGACCAGTCGCAGGAGCACAATGAAGACGTTGTTCTGGTTCTGGTTCAGGCAGATGAAGGAGACGAATGAACAGACGTGTTCTCTGTTTACGACGTGAAGATGGTTTAAAATCAGAAAACAGTAAAACCAACGGAGTCACATCGAGGCTTTCTCCCGTTTTCTGCTTCATGGTTGGTTTTAGGTAAAAAAGACGTTTAACCAGGTTCAGTTTGGAACCAGATCGTCCTGGTTCGGGTTAAACTGGACTCTGTCTCCACACGTCTGAAGCTTCTCCTGGGTTGCCATGGCGATAAGGCTCTAATATACGGTTGATTGGCTGAAAATGAGTGAAGCTGTAAAAGCTGAAGATGCACTGATTGGAGGCATGTTCTAATCAAACAGACAACATGTTCCTTTAAAGCCATGACTGAGGATGAAGCTTGTTGATTCAGGAGTCGTGTTGTTGTTCCGTCGGATCACAAACGGGCCTGTTGTGGTTTAGTGGAATTAATCACCAACTCTATTAATAATCAACCATTAAAGTCAGATTCTCAGATAGTTTCTCAGATTCTTAAATGTGGACGTGTTCTGGTTTTAGAATACTTTTCTCTCTTTTTTTCTTCTTTTTCTATTTTACAGTCCAAATGACACCTTTTGCACACTTAATTTTCACATTACACATTATTTTTGCTTTTTTTTTTTTTTTTTTTTCATTTTGCACAATGTATGTATTTTTTAAAAATGTTATGTTTATAATTTCTAGATTATTTTTGCAGCACTAGATCGTTATTCTTTTACACACTATTTTTACATCTCAGTGTTTTGGTGTTTATTTTTTGCATTTTTACACACTGGATTTTTACATAACACTGTTTTTGCACACTGTATACTTTTTACTTTTTTTATTTTTATTTTTTTAACATTGCTGCAGATATTTTTCTGCATTTTTGTTCTCAGTATATAATTTTTTTCCTGTTACTTTTTTTGGATGGTGACACAGATTTGTTTCTACATGACAAATTATTCACATTTTTATGCACTGTATAATTTACATCACCAATTTTTAAAAACCTATTTATTTTTTGCATTTCTGCACACAACGGTATTACATTACAATTTTTTAAATTTCTTTTTTCGCATTTTTGTGCACAGTATATTTCTTCTGTTTCTTTTTTCTTATTTATTTATTTATTTATTTTTTAATTTTTGACACTATAGACACATATATTTTTAACATTACAAATTAGTCACATTTTTGCACACTGTATAATTTATATTACAGGTTTTTAAAGATATTTTTCCATCACAGATTTTTTTTTGTTGCATTTTTGTGCTTTTTTTTTACACTGCAGATTTTTATTTTGCAAGTTTTGCACTACATTTTTTCCCATTGCAATTTTCTCCCATTTTTATCCACTTTACTTTTACATTTTCTCTGTTTAAAAACACTCTGTACTTTAATCTGTTAGATTTTTGACATTTTTTTCACAGACTTTTTTTTTTCCATTTTTGTTATTTTTGGACTGTATATTTTTTATTATATATTTTTTACATTTTCGTGCACAGACTGTTTTTACATCACATCTGACCAACAGGTCATCATCTTTTCAGTTTGTTTTATTACTTCTGTGAACAGTTTTTGTGCCACAAACACAGAAGCGTCCTCCCTAATCCGTCCAGTCTGAATAACTTTGCGGTTGAACTTTATGTAAACAGTCAAATAACTCAAACTGAAAGTAAAACATGAGCAGAGAAAAGTCCTGCAGTATCAGTATTAGCTCAGCTCTCTGTCAGTTGTGCTTTTCTGAGAATGAACGCTGAGTTCTTTCCTCTCACTGTGGAGGACAGAAGTTGAATGAATTGTCTTTAAACTGTTCAGCTCATCAGTTTGAAGCTTCAGCTGTTTCCCTTCACATTGAACCAACGTCAGCCCGTCATCTGTCTCCTGAACATGTAAATACACCTAAACAACCTGCAGCCTTTGCTGAAAGGTTCCGGTTCTGCTGCTCTGATCTCAGCCCGTCACTGTGCGCCCTGCTCCGGCCGGTCGGTAGAGGGCGCTCCAGCCCCGTTTCCTCCTCAGCTCTGCGCTCAGGTGTCCTCCACCGACACCAGCGCCGCTCTGCATGTGCCTACTCCTTATTTATGGCTCGTTTTACGGCTCGAGCTGCCTTTTAGTTTCCAAATGTTGTCCGTTGTTAAAGTTACGCGTGAATTTGCGGCAGAAGTTTGTTTTGATGAAGATTCCTCAGAAACAAACTGTTGCGTCGCCGCACGGAGACGCGCATTTCCCATAAAGCTCCACTTGATGCTCATAAAAAAAAAAAGAAAAACACAAATACGAGCTCCTGTGTGAGCAAACTTGGATCATAGATCCATCAGCCGCCCCCCCTTCTCCTCCTCCGCCCGCCTCCTGCGCTCTGATTGGCTCCGGGCCTCCAGAGTCCCGCCCTGCGCGGCCTGTGATTGGCCCGCGGAGCTGCCCGTCGCTGGGGGGCGCCCGGCTCCGGCTCCGGGCAGCAGAGACGCACCGCTGCTGCTCCTCTCCGCTGCTTTAGTGCGTCGAGCGGCGGAGGGAAGTGGAGCCTGCGCGTCTTGTTGTGCGTCCGTGGACCAAACAGCAGCAGCAGCGGTGCGCGTTTCTTCCTCCTCCAGAGCTGCAGGCATCCCGGGGAGCAGCGGCCGTGCACGCCTCGGACCGCGGCGGCAGGAGGACACCGCGCTGCCCCCTTCCTCTCCTCCTCCTCCTCCTTCTTCATTCTGATTTTGACTCGCTGAGGCTTAAACGCTGCGCTCGTCCCTGATGGTAACCAACACCGCGCGGCCGGAGACATGTGGACTAATCCGGGGAACCTGCACCGCTTCTCGCTAGCGTGTCTTCTGCTGACGCTGTGGGCCGAGGTGAGAACTTTACTGTCATGCCAGAGGAGGTCCCTCGAGTTTGTTTTTATTTATTTATTTATTTGGTGGAGGATGTTAAATTCCGGAGCTAATTGGATTCATGTGAGCTGGAATTTGGGGATAAATTAGGTTTAGAAATCTCAAAGTGCTCCGCCTGGCCACGAGCTGCGGGCGCGTAAAAACGGAAACCTCTCGTGTTTGAGCCAAAAATAAAACCTTTTCCCAAATATCTGAGATCCCCGACTCCTAAAAGTTTGCCAAACACTTGAGAGAAGCAGCTCCACACGCCTCCAGCGCGCCTTCACCTGCGCAGAAGAGTCGTAAAAATCGCCTCCAAAAATCAGTCATTTTCTCGCTTTTTTCTTTTTTTGGAGACGATTTTTCAAACTGTTTGGTTTCGTGCGAAGCTGGATGTTTGTGAGTGTTCGGCTGCAGCAGGCTGTTCTGCAGAGCGAGCTGAATTGGAGTCCAGAGTGTCCAACTGTGCCAACATGTACAGTAGTGTGGGCAGCGCGCTGACTGTACGCAGCGAGAGAGAGAAAAAAAACGGGTTTCTCTCGCATCTGTTGGTGCAGTGAGACAAATCCTCTAGTTTCCAACTGCAATGTGAGACTTTACAGGGAGTTAGTCACGCTTCTTGTACAAAATGTGGCACCTGGCTGTAAAAAAAAAAGCATTTAAAATATATGAATTTGTGGCTTAAAGTGTCACTTTTTTAAACTAAAAAAGATGCTTTAAACGCTCCAGACGGACTAAACGACCTCTTCCGTCCCCCTTCAGGTGTCTCAGTCCACCGGTTACTTCGAGCTGCAGCTGGTCTCGGTGGAAAACCCCAAAGGGCAGCTGCTGAACGGGGACTGCTGCGACGCGGAGAGGAGCGCGGCGGAGGGCCACTGCGGCGCGGACGAGTGCGACACCTACTTCAGGGTGTGCTTAAAGGAATACCAAACGGAGGTGACGACCAACGGACCGTGCACCTACGGCTCGGAAACTACTAAGGTTATCGGTGGGAATACTTTTCAGTTCAAGGGCGCCCAGAAAACCGGACAGAACCGGAACATCAACGACGCCGGGAAGATCACCATCCCCTTCCAGTTCGCATGGCCGGTGAGTGGGGAAATGCGCAAATGTCTCGGTTTTGCTGTTGGTGGAAGTTGGACTTCAGTGGCTTGACTGCGGAAAATAACGCACCTAAATTCCAACTGTATGCATTTGTAGTTGCTTGGTGGCCGGTTGTGTGTCTGAATCTGGAGCTGCGTGTTCGAGTTTGATGTTTTTCTGGTGTTGAATCGTTAAATCGCTCTTGGAGCGTGTAATCTGGCGCTGTTGCGCACAGATTGGCGCACTTTGGCACACTTCTCTGTAGCCTCTCGGTGCTGTCTGCTCATTCTTCTTGTGGGTTTGGCAACTTCTTTTTTTTTTGGCATCTTTACACATTCAGTCTGCTCGTGTGGAACATCGCATTCTCCCCGGGGAGCTTTTCTCTGGTGAAGCCCGGAGCGCGCATGACGCACGACTTTTACGCACGGCGACGGTGCAGTTTTAAATGAGTTACCAAACCAGCCGCTTGTTTGTGCGGCTCCAGAGGAAGGGGAGGGGGTGGGGGTGTTGTTGTGCCAGCGTTTGAAGCGGTGGAAATAAGGATTTTACAGCAAGTGCTGATTAAGAAGTGGCAGGTAACTCATTATCTAATCCAAACAGAGCAGCGAGCCAATCCAAACCTGCTCCCGCTCCTTATTTGGAGACCCAGCGTGGGAAACGGGATCAGCGCTGGCAATCAGAGCCTCGTGAAAACTGCTGCTACACCCACAGATCTGTATCTGGGGAGGTCTGAACGGTCAGGAAGAGTCACAGGTTTGATTCCCACAACAGCTGAGCAGTGAGCTGTCAGAACAAACGTCCGCTCGTCGTGAGTCAAAGCGAGCAGAGGAAAGTCACAGCGCAGCCAGTGATCTCAGAATATTAGCCCGCGCTGAGGTGTTAAGTCCAGCAATCAGCCAGCCAGTCAACAGATAAACCTCAAAACCGTTTGTGCTGAAAATATCTGCTTCTTATCAAGTCCTCTCAAGAAACTCGTTTGAAGATTCTTTGATTTCAGGACTGAGCTCTTTATCAGAAACACTTGTGCTGTGGCGGTTTTGCAGTTTGTTTAATAAAACTTCTTGTTATTTCCCTGATTCTGCTCAAAGAAACGAGGATTTGTTGTTCCTCTAACTGTGCATCCAGTCAGTTTTTAGTTTTCCTTCACGCTGCTCGGATGAAATGAACACTTTGAAGTCTGAGGAGGCTTAAATTTTAGACAGATTACAAACAAGAGCTTAACCTCCTTAACTCCAGCAGTTTGGTTTTGTACATTTTAACTCACTGTGGGCTCGTTTTGCACTGCGATGCAAAGTCCTGCACCTTCATGGAAACAGAAATCTGAATCAGCTGGAACAAGTGGAGACGTTGGAGGCATATTTAACTTTTTTTTTGCATTGTTCCAGCCTCTCAAAGATGTTCCATCATGCTGGATGTATCTCCAACACCTGGCTCCTCTGTTCTCTGGTTCTGATCCAGGCTGCATTTATTTATTGATCCAGGAGGTTGGATTTTCCTCTCAGTCTCTCTGAGGAAACACTGGCTGCAGTTCAACCTCACAGTTTTGGTCACGGCTGAGAGAAAGGTGACGTCTCAGTGGTGTGGAGGAGCGATGAATGTTTTGTCTTTACAGGATCTGGTTTGAGGAAACTGTTTGTTTTCGATGAAACATAAAAGCAGGTTTGATGGCGTGTCAGGATTTGGAGCTCAGGTAACAGGTTGAAAATGTGCTGATTTTTCTGATAAATTGTGTCATTTTGTTCATTATTTTACTGAAAGATGCACGTTTTGTTTTGTTTTTATAGAATTGGCTGAAATACATTTTTGGGCGAGTTTGTGTCTGAAACCTGCAGGGTGACGTGAGTTTGGTGAAATGTTGCACTTTTAGGCTTAGATTTGGTTATTTTTCATGATTGAACCGCAGGTTGCACGTGTGCGTTCAGGGACTGCTGACTGGCTCTGATGGACGGTTCAAGTTTTGAATACATTTTTTATACATATACAATTTTTATTAATTTAAATCATTAAAACTCTCAACTGGACTGTTGGTTGCAGCTGAGTTTGCACCAAAGCGAGCAGAACTTTTAGGTTTTTCTGTCTAGAACTTGGTGGTGAGGTTTTGGGTTTTGGTTTAGATTTGTGGATGATACATGTGGGGTAAAGTGAGTGTGTTCAAATATCACAGTTTTAAGCTTCGGTTTGTTATTTTTCACGATTGAACTGCAGGTTGCACATGATTCGTTCACGGACTGTTGGAAAGTTGAACATCTGGTGAATTTTTCTGTTTTTGCAGTTTGTGGTTTTGATGAATGGTGTAATTTTGGTGATTTTTTTAAAGAATAGACAGCTGCCTTTGAAACCTGCCGGCAGATTTTCTCCAAAGGCTCCAGCAGCATCACTTTCTGAAGTTGTTGTGCCAAAAGCTGCAGATCCGTCGGCCTGATTGAAACATCGGCGGCGCAGGAGTCGCTTTGTGCCGCTCGGCTGTCTACGTGACCTCCCCATTCATCTTCCCCCTGGTCAGCTGTCAGCGGAGGGAAGATGGAAGTAGTAAGTTGGGGCCCGGCGGGCGGATTGGGTTTCCACTAAGTTGTGTGTGACACAGTCGCCGGGTATCGGTGTCAGCGAGCTCGCAAACAAGCGAAGCTGCCGGTCAATCTGGGCCGGGGGATGCCTTTACCTCTCAGGTTCACGCTCCGTCCCTCCGCCGTGGCCTCATTGTCTCCGCCGGCGGTATTTTCCACGATGTGCCCCCAGGAGGCGGCTGGAGCCTCGTCACGTCGAGGTCGGAGGCTTTCAAATGTCGCCGCGCTTCACGTGATTCTTTGAGATGATCAGATGATTAAATGAGTGGATGTTTGATCTGTGAGATGGAAGGAAATGGTGGAAAAAAGTCACGTTATCCACAGAAAGATGAGAAAGATGTTGAGTTTATGAAAAAACCCGGAAAATATGAAAGAATCTGGACTTTTTTCATTTAAAAAAGTGAGTCAAACTGATTAATCGATCATTTAATTTAACAGTTTGTGACAGAACGAGTTGTTTTTCATTCATATTCTGATCTCTTTCATTCTTCTTTTTTTTAAATTCCATTTATTTTTCACTCCAGAGGTGCAACTGTTGGTTATTCCCACTGCTGGTTATTTTCTTGGTTGATTGATTAATTCATTAGTGGTTTGATCAGTAAAATGGAAAGAAACCAGAAACTTTGTATGTTTAAGACGCTGCAGTCAGCTGCAGTCAGAGACTTTAAACCAATTTTCTCTCACGAAGTTGCTCAAATTCTTTAATTTATCACCAGAATAGTTGCAGATTACTCAGTATTTGGCAACTAATTGATCAATTGGCAGCAACTTGTGATCTGCGCAGTTATCTTTAGCTACTTAATTGATTATTTAGCCTATAAATGATGAAGAAAAACACTCAGAATGGCTTTTAAAAAATCTAACCCAACCATTTAAAGTGACATCCGGCAGAGAAAAGCTGCGACTTTTCCTGTCTGAGAAGAAAACTTTTGGTGTTTTTGGTTAATTGACGAGCGATTTGAATCGATGGCAGGCACGTTGGGTCGTCGGTGTCGGAGAGACGGTGGCTTAAATGAAACCGACTTTAGGGAACTGATTGTTTGGATCCGTTAAAGGAGTTGCTGAACAAGCCGAGGCGTCGGTCTGCTGTCGGAGGAGTTAAAGGTTCAGTCTGCGATTCTGGAGAATGACTGTTAGCGTTTAAATCGTCGGCATTTGACGGATTTACGATTCGATGAGCAGAAAAGGGGTTGCGTGGAATCGATTCGAGCACATAGATGTAGATAAACCCTTTAAACTCTGAAAACTCACCGAAATGACGCAATTCTTTAGAGATAAACTGTAAAAACGGAGAGAATCGTCATATTTCCTACATTCAGATGGTCCTTGGAGGCATCACGTGTGGGGAAACTCGACTACATCTCGTTATTTTCCAGTCAAAAAGTCGACTAAACTGTTTTAACACGACTCTGTTCTTCTCGACCAACATTCATCTCCTTCAGCTCCACTGATGGAAGTGACTCAGTCCGTGACGGGCGTAGACTCGAGCGGTTCATTGTTTTGTTGTTTTCGTGGAGCCATTGTGCTGTTTTCATCGTTTCATTCAGCTAATGTTCTTCGTTTTCCTGTTTCCAAAACAACATTGATGCAGTTTAACCCTCTGAGCGCCACGCTGCAGCTTTCTGCCCGTTCCTTTGCTCCGCTCGCATTTTTCTCTGCAGCGTAAAATCCTGCAGCTCCAGGAAACCACGACGGCGACGCTCTATGTGGAAAAATCAGCAATACGATG